GCCCTGCAACTGGCGGGGGCCCTGCTGCTGCCCCGCGGTGCCCTCCACGAGGCGGCTGCCTTTGACGACACGTCCGAAGGAGCCGTCCACTACTTCTACGACGAGAGCGGTGAGACAGGGCCCCCCCGGGGCCCCCCAAAAAACACCCCCGGACCCCCTTACACCTTCCTCGCCCCCCGCAGGCGTCCGACGTTCCTACACCTTTGGGGCGGCTGGTGGCGGCTACGAGAACCCTGTGGGGCAACAGAGCGGGACCGAGCCCCCGGCTGGCAGCGTGTGGTGAGGGGGGTATTTGGGGGGTCCTGCCCCCTAGCAGGGGAGTTTGGGGGGTCCCAGCTCCATAGGTGGGAAATTTGGGGTGCACCACTCCTGTAGATGAAGATTCAGAACTTTTTGGTTCTGTATGTGAGACATTCCGGGTGTGCCAGCTGCGTAAGAGAAAATTTAGGGTGTCCCTGGCACCATAACTGGGGAGTTTGACATGTTGTGGCCCCCTGGCTGTGGGGTCTGGGGGGCTTCCAGCCCCATAGTTGGATGGTTTGGGGTGTCCCAGCCCTGTAGCAGGAGATTTGGGGTGCTGTGGCGCCATAGGTGTGGGGTTTGGGGGTTCCCACTTCCACAGGTGGGAGATTTGCGGTGTCCCTGGCACCGTAACTGGGGGGTTTGAGGTGTCGTGGCCCTATGGCTGTGGGGTTTGAGGGGTTTCCAGTCCCATAGTTGGATGGTTTGGGGTGGCGCAGCCCTGTAGTGGGAGATTTGGGGTGCCCTGACCCCACAGGTGTGGGGTTTTGGGGTTTGCAGCTCCGCAGGTGAGACATTTGGGGTGTCCCGGTCCTGTAGACAGAGATTCAGAAATTTCTGGTTCCAGGTCTGGGGGATTTGGGGTGTCCCAGCCCTGTAGTGGGAGATTTGGGGTGTCCTCGTCCCATACCTGGGGGGTTTGGGAGTTCCCAGCTCCATAGGTGGGAGATTTGGGGTGTCCCGGTCCTGTAGACAGAGATTCAGAAATTTCTGGTTCCAGGTCTGGGGGATTTGGGGTGTCCCAGCCCTGTAGTGGGAGATTTGGGGTGTCCTCGTCCCATACCTGGGGGGTTTGGGAGTTCCCAGCTCCATAGGTGGGAGATTTGGGGTGCCACAGCCCCATAGGGGGAAGTTCGCGTGGTCTTGATTCCATAGCCAAGGGATGGATTTGAAATTTTCCAGCCTTGTAGCGGGAGGTTTGGGGGGTGTGGTCCCCATAGCGGGGGGATTTAGGGTGTCCTGGGCCCATAGCAGGGGATTTGGGGGGGTCCCAGCCCCATAGCAGGGGGGTTTGGGGGTTCCCACCCCCCTCCTCACACCCCATCTCCCCCCCAGGGACCGTCACTCGCCCTCCTCTAGCGTCACCTCAGCGGAGGCGGCTGAGGGTCCCTCCCGTCCCCCGGGGGGGCTGCCACTGCGCCGAGGACCCCTTGAGGCGCCTGAGGTGAGGAGGGGGGAGGACATGGGGGGTGTACAGGGGAAATGCATACCGGACCCCACATCTGTCCCCCTTGGAAGGGCTCAGTGCGGGGGTGAAGGGGTACAGGGGAGGTCCAGGGGGGTGACAGGGGACCGGTGTCACCC